ACACTTGTGGCAACTAGCACAGTCACCTGAATAAGATGTAACCACCAGTGAGAAAACGAAAAATACAAGCTTCGAATATCTAAAAGCACTGATTCGGAATCTAGACATACACGGCCATCACGGAATCTGGCAATAGTATCTTGCATCTGGTATGCTCGCATTTCTTGACTGTTATTATGCCCAATCAAACTTGCAGACTTAACAAAACTCAGGGAAGGAAGTTCCGCAAAAACCTACAAGTACATAGAACACATTAATGGTCATAGTGAGGCAATAGCTAGCAAAAGAATAAACCATAACTCACACAAATGTCATTTTTGTTAAACAATTGACCTTTGGAAGAACTAAGGCAGCCACAACACGTTCAACAAAGATTATTGCACGAAAATCCTCCATATGCTCATATCTCAGAAGTATTTTAATCAACGACTGCACCTTTGGTGTCACTTTTCCATCAGCAACAGCAGCTCCAATAATCGCATCAACATGCTCCCCACCAGAGACAACTATATCAGACAAGAATAAGCTAATTTTAACATTTAACAAAAATTCCATTATCAGGGACCGCCTATCAACAGTTGACCCATACAAACTCTTAGCAAATGTACAATTCGGGCAAGATGGTATCCTCTCATAACACTCCTTATATATGTTTCCATATCTTATATATGTTTCTATATCATTGAAAAATGTCTCACCTTCCCTGGAGGTTGAGTGTGTTAGAAATTATAAATTGTAGGCAATAAACTTGTCTAACTATTACAAGGTAGAATACCTTTTATAAAGTTACAAATAGCTCCAAAAAGAAATGATTACCTGATAATCACACAATCAATTATTAAGGAATATAATCTAATACAATTGGGAGAAAATTCAAGGAGAATGATATCTAATATTTCTATATCTACATCATCCCCTCAAACTCAATATGATGTTGTAGCAACCAATTTAGTTTGAAAATCAAATTGATCCGAGCAAGTTGTCGTTCCTAAGGCTCAAATGATACTTCAGAATTGCATGTACCGTGCATGCCGTCTAAGCCAATCACAAAACTAGAAGTTGATGAGAAAAACAATGTCTATCCAACAATTTAACAAGACCATGACCAAGACTTGATGCGCATATCCCACGAGCAGAAAGAACAGAGTCAAAATCAAACAATCAAGTAGTTTTTTTTACAACTAAACTTGCAAGGATAGATCATGTTAAAAATAGTACTGCAAAAATCTATGGGGGTTCACCAGCAATCCTCCCAAAGATAAAGACAAAGACTGGCCTAATGAAGACCCTGGCATGGCACACGAGGAAGTTAAGAAAATGTGATGGACAAAAAAAATGATGGAAAATAACAGGATTTTTATTTTTCTTCCCAATTGTTCTAGCGCCAACAAATCAGAATTTGTCCAACAAAAGCAGTGCGAGTGTTTTCTGATAGAGGCCAACTTATTGGATCCAAATCAGGATTGAACCAAGAAGAATTGCCATTAAAAATTTTTGATTGTACGGTGTTTGTCCATGTGCCAACTCATCTCCAGTCCAAATTCGATCCAAGAGCCGAAAAATGTACTTTTCTAGGCAATGCTCCTAATAAAAAAGGGTATAAGTGCTTTAATCCCTCCACTAGGAAAATTCATCCTAGTGTGGATGTAAACTTTATTGAAAATTTTCCTTTTTTATAGCAAAACTTCTCTTCAAGGGGAGAGTTCAAATGAAGATCACTTTTGGCAACAAAAAAAAAAAAAAAAACTGAAACCTGCAGTATTTTTTCCCGAGATAAATCAGAAAACAGAGATTTTTAAATGGTAAAAAGGGGGAAAATACAGATGTATCCATGCCAAATAAAATTGTATCAGAAATAAGTGAAGAAACTCTACAATCTATGTCCACTGAGCTCAGTGTTTATACTAGGCACAAGTTTAATTCTAATACCGAGAATAATCCAATCAGTCTTGAGCATGGTCAATCCTCACCTCCCAGTTCTCAAAGTCCAAGGAATCTTTCTATGAACTCCATTCCTTTATCTCTTTCTGAACTTGATATCCCTATTGCAATTTGAAAAGGAGTTAGGAATTGTACCCAATATCCCATTGCCAAATATCAGGTCAGGCCTATCAAAGACTCTTAAAAAAATATAGAGCTTTCACTTCAAATATCTCTCACTTATTCATTCCTAGAACTATACATGAAGCACTAGGGCACTCGGAGTGGAGGTCAGCACTTCAAGAAGAAATGAATGCTCTTCAGAAAAATAGAACCTGGGAAATTGTTGATCTACCTAAGGAGAAAAAGAAAGTGGGATGCAAGTGGATTTTCACAGTCAAGTGTAAGAACGATGGGAGTATTGAAAGATATAAAGCAAGGTTAGCAACTAAAGGCTTCACACAAACCAATGGAATTGACTACCAAGAAGCATCTGCGCCTGTTGCAAAAATCAATTCTATTCGGTTTTTAATTTCTCTTGCAGTACTAATTGGCCTTTACACCAATTAGATGTAAAGAATGCTTTCTTAAGTGGTGATTTGGAGGAAGAAGTGTTAATGGATTTGCCACTAGGTTTTGAAGAAAATTTTGAAACAGAAAAGGTTGGCAGATTAGAGAAGTCCTTGTATGGCCTCAAGCAATCTCCTAGGTCCTGGTTTGAAAGATTTGGAAAGGTAGTCAAGCTTCAAGGACATTCAAAGTCAAGCTGACCATAAAATGTTTTACAAGCACTCAAGAGAAGGGAAAATTGTTGTGTTAATTGTTTATGTAGATGACATGTCTCTAACTGATCATGATAGTCGGGAACTTGATAAATTGAAGAAAGCTCTTGATCGTGAGTTTGAGATTAAAGATTTCGGTTTCCTGATATACTTCCTTGGTATAGAGTTCATTTCTCAAAGGAAATATATACTCGTCTTATTAGGTGAAACGGGTTTACTTGGGTATAAAGTAGCAGAAACTCCTATATAACCGAATCCGAAACTTCATCCAGCAAGTCTGGAAGAGGTGAATGACAGAGAAAAATATCAATGCTTAATTGAGAGACTTATTTCTCTCTCTCACTCAACCTGACATTGCATTTGCTATAAGCATGGTGAGTCAATCCATGCACAACCAAATCATGGACACTTCGATGATGTATACAGAATTTTAAGATACTTAAAGGGGACCCCAAGAAAAGGGCTTCTATATGAGAATCGAGGACATCTCCAAGTAGATTTGTTTACTGATGCAAATTGGGCCTGATAGGAGATCAACTTCGGGGTATTGCACTTGTGTTGGAGGCAACTTGTGACTTGGAGGAGTAAAAAGCATCATTGACAGGCCATTGCCTCGTATACATACAATACATATGTAACTATAATCATTACACACTTCCATATGTATATAAATATATGTATGTAGAGGCTGCTAGAGAGAGCTGTCAAGAATTGTGCACGACTCCATAACCCTCTTTGTGGCTAGAAATAGTGCTGAAGTTGAGTTTAGAGCAGTAGCCCATGGCATTTGTGAAGTTTTGTGGATTAAACAGCTACTAATCCTTTACCTATACAGGTCTTTTGTGATGATAAAGCTGCAATTTCCATTGCACACAATCCAGTTCTCCATGATAGAACTAAACATGTAGAGGTTAACAAACATTATATCAAGGAGAAACTAGAAAGTGGACTAATTGTTATGCCCTATATACCAGTGATTGAACAGGTTGCAGATATACTCACTAGGGGATTACCCAAGAAGCAGTTTGATGATTTAGTAAGCAAGCTGGCCATGTATGACATCAAAAGAGCTTGAGAGGAAGTGTTGAGAATCTTGATCAAATCAAATAAATTCTGATTCGATTGTTACCTAATTCTTAGGGAAAGTTTGTTGTGAACACAATCTTCTAAGATTCCTATAAATCTAGATGTAGATATAGTTTGTTTTGTTGTAATTTATCTTCTACTATAGATTTAGTTTGTTGTGATATTGCTGATCTCTTGCTTGTTGTGATAAAGCTTTTCCTTAGATTGTAATCTATAAGCTTATCAAGTAGTTGTAATCTCTCTATTAAAGGAAGATTGTTCCCTTCCTTGTTTATTATACACACATTACATTTTATATCATAGTCCATAGGAGGATCTAGTCAACATGTCTTCCAATGCATAGTTTAAATTACAAATTTGATGGAAAGTACTGACCATGACTGTTAGTAAGCTCCCCTTCCTCTAGCTCCTCAGTCCCATTTCCAGCACCACTACCAATGTTGGCAACACTTGTAGTTTCTTCTGAAATGGCTCCCTCAGATAAATGGCATTGCAAGAGTGAGACAACTTTATGTAGGTACGATTCTTGAAACTTGACATCAAGTTGGTAGTTAGCCCTTTCATCATTTTGCAACGCAGTTAAAAATGCTTGTGCAACCTGCAAAAGTGAACAGGCTTTAAGGAAATATGGTACACAGTATTGACTCGCTTACAATGTGACTTAACTCCCCATATCTGGAATAGAATGCCTTCATTTTAACTTTCACCGTGTTGAGGAAAAGTTTCCACTTTCTAAAATTGACATTCATTAAACATATCTTCCTCAAACCATCATTCAGTAAAATAAAATCTGTGTTTTTCAAATACATTAGTAAAGCATCCCCACAAGCCCCCAGAACCAAAAGTAGAAACCAAACCACATCCCACCTTGACGACCGACCCATTTTCAGTAAAATTATGATAGACGTACCAAAGACATCCAAAATGAAAAGGCCCAGAGTGTATCAATATCCAAATTCCAAAACCATCATGGCTACCACCTCAAGGGGGGTGCAAAGGTGGAAGGAGAAGGTAATAAATATACTGATTTAACTAAATAGGGAAATTGGCAAAACATTGCAGTCAAACGTTTCTCCAAATAATTTAGCCACATCAAACCAGGACATTCAATTCAATGTTGACAAGTCCATGAAATCCACAAGTCATCACCTTATAAGCACACCATTGTCCCAGTTCACCGAGTGCATAGTTGATAGCTCTCAGTTTTTGAATTAAATTTGCAGCACCATCACTTTCTGTACGTTCAGACACACCATAAACTTGGCGCATCTCTTCCTTAGCACCAGCATCTCTTGCTCCCATAAATTGCCATTTACTTTTTCTGGAGCTTGACCGAGCTGCCTCTTCAACGGCCTGCTCCAATTGTTTTATTTGTTGATGGAGGGACCATAAACTAGCAGCTTTGTCATACTCCACTACTATTTCTAAGGGCATCGGTACATGTTTCTCCAACTCCTTACGATCCTTTATAGTACAAACTATGGAATCTAGTTTACTTTCCAAATTACGAATTTTTACAGCACAATCCACTTGGCTAGAAACGCCTGCATTATGCATAGGAAAGAACAGTTATTTGAAAAGGAATAGAGGACGGAGGAGGGGGATGTCAGTATCAATGTATCACTGAAGTTCAAAAATATAATAAGAAGAAAAGAATAAGTCACTTTTTAGTTGGGATTAAAATCAGATTTTTAGTAGATTTTGATAGAAGTTGATGAAATGTATGATTTAAAAGTTGATAAAAGTTGTGAATCCCATAAAATGTGGTTGAAAATGAGTTTGAGAAAAAATAAGTTTTAAGAAATGAGGGCCAACCAGCTGCCAAAACTAAAGCAATACATTAATTCATAAAGACTTAACAAAAAAAGATACTGCCTCCAAGAAACCCGTTATCTTACAAAACAATTTAATTTACAGCATAAGAAACAAATCAGAAAAGTACCCTTCAAGTTAACAGGAGATGCAGTCATGCCAAAAACTGAAGGTCTTTTCTCCCTTGGTGTTGTGTGATAGAACTCAGACATGACCAAAGAATATGGATGTTTCTTCACAGCATGGTGACACTCATCCAATACAAGGAGATTGATGGCATCCATTCTTACTATACTGTGTCTAAGTATGTTTAAAAGAATTTGAGCCGTCATCACTAAAACCTGTGTGAAGAAGCAACATAAGTGAGTAAAATTAAACATGACTGACACTTTAGCAAATTAAATGCCAGCACTTGAGTGGATAAACTTTAAAGTGCAGCCTTCATACATATTTTCTGCCAAGTCCTAAAATCCACTAAATCGCATGTTCATACATATTTTATTGCTAAGTCTTAAAATCCACTAAAATGACAATTCATATGGGTTTTAAAAACTCACTTAATCACTGTTTCTTTAGGATAGTTTCAGTTTGGCCATCAACTTTAATTTGTTCGATTGAATTTGGAAATTTTTAACACGTAAAATTTAAAAATCTCTACTTATCTACAACATATATTAATTATATGCTGATTTCATTAAATCTTATTAAGTTATTGAAGAACATGCCAAGTCAAAAAGTTCATAAAGTAATTTATTTCTCTCATCCTCATTTCAAAGTGAGAACAGCCGAAACAGTTATAAATTAGGTCTTTGCCTCCCCCCCCCCCCCCCCCCCCCCCCCACTGTAGAAACCAAACCACATCCCACCTTGACGACCGACCCATTTTCAGTAAAATTATGATAGACGTACCAAAGACATCCAAAATGAAAAGGCCCAGAGTGTATCAATATCCAAATTCCAAAACCATCATGGCTACCACCTCAAGGGGGGTGCAAAGGTGGAAGGAGAAGGTAATAAATATACTGATTTAACTAAATAGGGAAATTAGCAAAACATTGCAGTCAAACGTTTCTCCAAATAATTTAGCCACATCAAACCAGGACATTCAATTCAATGTTGACAAGTCCATGAAATCCACAAGTCATCACCTTATAAGCACACCATTGTCCCAGTTCACCGAGTGCATAGTTGATAGCTCTCAGTTTTTGAATTAAATTTGCAGCACCATCACTTTCTGTACGTTCAGACACACCATAAACTTGGCGCATCTCTTCCTTAGCACCAGCATCTCTTGCTCCCATAAATTGCCATTTACTTTTTCTGGAGCTTGACCGAGCTGCCTCTTCAACGGCCTGCTCCAATTGTTTTATTTGTTGATGGAGGGACCATAAACTAGCAGCTTTGTCATACTCCACTACTATTTCTAAGGGCATCGGTACATGTTTCTCCAACTCCTTACGATCCTTTATAGTACAAACTATGGAATCTAGTTTACTTTCCAAATTACGAATTTTTACAGCACAATCCACTTGGCTAGAAACGCCTGCATTATGCATAGGAAAGAACAGTTATTTGAAAAGGAATAGAGGACGGAGGAGGGGGATGTCAGTATCAATGTATCACTGAAGTTCAAAAATATAATAAGAAGAAAAGAATAAGTCACTTTTTAGTTGGGATTAAAATCAGATTTTTAGTAGATTTTGATAGAAGTTGATGAAATGTATGATTTAAAAGTTGATAAAAGTTGTGAATCCCATAAAATGTGGTTGAAAATGAGTTTGAGAAAAAATAAGTTTTAAGAAATGAGGGCCAACCAGCTGCCAAAACTAAAGCAATACATTAATTCATAAAGACTTAACAAAAAAAGATACTGCCTCCAAGAAACCCGTTATCTTACAAAACAATTTAATTTACAGCATAAGAAACAAATCAGAAAAGTACCCTTCAAGTTAACAGGAGATGCAGTCATGCCAAAAACTGAAGGTCTTTTCTCCCTTGGTGTTGTGTGATAGAACTCAGACATGACCAAAGAATATGGATGTTTCTTCACAGCATGGTGACACTCATCCAATACAAGGAGATTGATGGCATCCATTCTTACTATACTGTGTCTAAGTATGTTTAAAAGAATTTGAGCCGTCATCACTAAAACCTGTGTGAAGAAGCAACATAAGTGAGTAAAATTAAACATGACTGACACTTTAGCAAATTAAATGCCAGCACTTGAGTGGATAAACTTTAAAGTGCAGCCTTCATACATATTTTCTGCCAAGTCCTAAAATCCACTAAATCGCATGTTCATACATATTTTATTGCTAAGTCTTAAAATCCACTAAAATGACAATTCATATGGGTTTTAAAAACTCACTTAATCACTGTTTCTTTAGGATAGTTTCAGTTTGGCCATCAACTTTAATTTGTTCGATTGAATTTGGAAATTTTTAACACGTAAAATTTAAAAATCTCTACTTATCTACAACATATATTAATTATATGCTGATTTCATTAAATCTTATTAAGTTATTGAAGAACATGCCAAGTCAAAAAGTTCATAAAGTAATTTATTTCTCTCATCCTCATTTCAAAGTGAGAACAGCCGAAACAGTTATAAATTAGGTCTTTGCCTCCCCCCCCCCCCCCCCCCCCCCCCCACTTTTGCTGTTGAAGGCGTCGTGTGAATAAAGGTTACAGCAAAGGCCTTGACCATGCAAAGTGACTTTCAAAGAGAATTGCGTTTCATCCCTTTCTCTCCAACTTGTGCTTCTTTGTTCGCTTTTCAAAAAATTGTCCACTGTTTATTCGTATTTTTTATGAAAGAAGTGAACCAATTTTCCCGGTAGCATCGTCCAGTCCAGTTTTCATAATATTTATTTAAGCAGAATCCCATGCCCCGATGGCAAAATTTGCCAAAACTGCGTACCTATCCTCTAGAACTAGCTTCTTATCAACTTTTATGTGCATGTTGAGTGACACCAATGCTCAATTATATAAGTAAGGAAAAAACTCAAATATAAAACAAAACATCAAATTCTTGGCTCAAATAACACATTTCAGCTGCAAGAACCTATACTACTACTACTACAGTACTATTCTATAAGATTTAATAAAACCATGGTTGCATCTGTTATGTCGGAACACGAGTTCATTAGAAGACGTCATATACATTTTCTTGATTCCTGAATTTGGGTAGAGATACTCAAGCCTTCAATCAGGTATACGGTTGCTTAGAACTTAAGTTATCTTATAGACGAGAATCTCTAAACCGAGGTTGTTTCTGTTTTAACATTCACACATAGCAATTCAATGAGAAAGCAATAACGTTTATTTAAAAAATATATATATCAATTGAAGATTGCAGACCCACGTCCTACTCTCGGTTGACAACGAATTTATGAATACTGATATTGGTCCAAACAGAAAATTGTACTTCAGATTCTTTTCAATCTAAAGATTTTGAGGTGCTTACCAGGAATCAATCAAACAAGCCAAACACATCCTACATCATTACTACTTAAGATTCTGACCAACTAGTTGCAGTATCATAATTTGTCATGTCTGACCTTTTGAGTTCTCTATATTGCCCAGTCATAAGCTAGACTGCTGCTATTTTAGAATTATTTCTTGCTTTCCAAATCTACCATACTAGATGGAGTTAAGTCTATGGTCCCCTTCATTCTCATTATTTTCTTTTTTCCTAGGGCTGTCTCCATGTCTCCCTCCATCACTTGTACTCTTATTTTCACGATATTAGTCATAAATGCAAGGGATCCACACCAAACTCTTAATCACTTCAAAGACCGAAAAAAGATATCTTCAAAGAGTAAGTACTCTCTGCCCACGCTACCTTTAAGTATACACTTTAAGGACAATGGCAAAAGATAAAACAGCATTGTTATGCTTCAATAAATAGACAATATGATATACCTTCATTATAAAAGCCTGTTTACTTATGTTTTCTCAAACAAATATTTTGGGAGTTTCAAAGATCTTTTGGGTGGAAGAAGTTTTTCTTAAATTAGATCAATATTTAATCAAATCAAGTGCAACTTCAGGTTTCACTGTTCAAAGTACCTGTTTTGATTCAAACTCGCGCTGCCACCTTCGGGCATCCCAGAAATCTTGACCCATTTCCCCACAATAATGACCGACTTGATAACCCGTTTGTTCACGGATTACTTCTGCTTGCTGCATTATTGATGACAAAAAAGAATCATTAAGATACAAGTTAACATATTGAACCAGCAGAAAATTCCTCAGTTATTCATCAATTTAACAATTACCTGATAAACAAGTGGAACTTTAGGAACCAAAAAGACAGCCAGCATTTTCTTATTCTGCTTTTGCAGTTTAACATACACACTTTTTATAAGGAGGACCGCTATAAGCGTTTTCCCAGCGCCGGTTTCCAGAAAAGCAATAGTGTTTCTCATTTTTGCCTGTTCAAGGACATCCAACTGGTACTGGCGAGCTTGTTCCTCAGGAATTTTCTCTTTCAGCTCTTCGGGTTTCCTCTCTTCTGAGCCTCCACCATGTTTGTGGCTTTTCTCAGTATGCATTTTCTCATCTCTGTTTCGACAAGCTTCCCAAGAACCATGTCGGAAGACCAAATCATTAGTTTCCTTGTCCCTCTCCCAGTAACCCCTTCCTTCCCGGCAATCCCGGTCCTTCCTGCTAACAGTAGTAAAGCGCTCTCTTCTCCTTACTTGATCCCTGTCCCGTCCATCCACCTCCACATCATCCCAGCTGCGAGGTCTCTTCCTGCCAAGATCCCTATCCCAACTTCTCTCACTCTTTTTGTCACTGTTGCGAGCCCTTCTGCCAAATCTTTCCTCGGATTCATGAAATTCCCGAGGTCTCTTGACATTTTCATTTCCATTGCACTTGAATTCATTGCTATGACAAGGCAGTTTCTTGCCATTATAATTAGTAATTTCAGACCTATAAACTGAGTGTTGATGCTGGAGGTACACTTGCTCGGAAGACAATTGAAGATCATCAACTTCATCCAAACTACAGTGAGCGGATACCTCCGGCAAATCAGCACCATTTTTGATATTGTCAAGTATCTGATCTATTCCACCAAAGAAACCAGAATCAATGCAGCTATCCTGATTATGTGGTTCTGGATTAACTGCATCAAAATCGTTGATGAGATCATTACAGGAGATGTCCTCACAAGCATCCAGCCAGTAGGAGGGTCTAACATCGGAAGTTGGAGCATCGATATTAGTTGAAACCCTACACTCCTCATCCATTTCTTACAATGACTTCAATTTAGTTGAATAACAATAATACAACAATAGTAAAACGGAATCAACCCAACTTTTTTTTCCCTTTAATGCAGTATTTATGCAGCAAAGAAATTATTGAAAATACAGCACCAAAATACTAAAAAAAGAAAAGAAAAAGTAAAGAATCGAAATTCAAAACCAGATTAAATAAAAAAAAAAAAGAATATTCAAGTTAAGACTAATTTCAATTCTAAGCTAGTGTATAGAGAGAAAGAATGAATGGAGAAAGCAGATAAGCGTGAAATAGACCGTACGAAGCAACCAAACCAATTTGTGTGATTCAAAGATTCCCCACGGTCTATATTACGCCATTCTGCTCTCTCATCACTTCACTTTTCCTTTTTCTTCCCCAATAAACTCAAATCTCTAATTTTTCTTCCCTCAATCGCTGCTCTTATGTCACTCCTCACTCTACTTTTTTTCCAAATCTGTCTCAATCTCTCTCGCTCGCTGTTAATAAATAGCGTTGAGACTCGAGAGAGAGAGAAACAGACAGAACGGGGCGTAGCTATAGCAAAAGTAAAAAGGCCAAAAGCTAATTCACACTTGAGGCGGTCCTTCAATGAAACGTGTTTGGCTAATCATTTAGGGTTTGTTTGAGCAAAATATTTTTTTGGAGAACAAATTTTACAATAGTAATTTTTTAAGGAATATATTATTAAAAAAAATTGAACTGACGTGTAAAATTGTGATATTGATAGAATGTATGGTTAATAATGAGTTTATAAACAAGTAAATTTTTAAAAAATCTGGCTGATTTAGCCTCTGTTTGCCCATATTATTTTCAAATTTTAATAGTTGAAATAATATTTTTTTTAAATGTGTGGTTAAAAAAGAATGAAAATTTTTTTATTTACATGTAATATTATTTTATGAAAGATTGTGTGATTGAAAATAATAGAGCAAAAAAGAATGAGAAGAAGATTGGGACCAAACGGGGCTTAATTACATTGGTAAATTTCAAAATATATCGCTTTATTAGTTAACATAGGAAATCAGGAATAAATTTATAAAATATCCGAGTTGAGTAGGCCAGTTTTTTTAAGTGTTTAAAATTATTTACGCTCCCAATGTACTCAAGATATACTTTGCATACATCAGTTAAAAGATGTACGCAAAAAAATTATTTGTTTCAAGAAGGAATTTCAGAATTTCGTCTCTTTTTGGGTCCCGAAAAGTGTTTATTTTTCAGAATAAAAATAATTTGATATGTTGAAAATTTCTTGTCATAATTATTCACCCTTGAAATGCATCTCAATATTTAGAAGTTAATAGATCATACGAGCAGCGTGTGTGATCTAACTTTCTAAGTTTAGGTATATAAGTTAACTGGCACCATGCATTAATAGAGGTAAGACTTTCGTTGTAATAGATATATGATATAAGAAAATAAATATTGTGTAAAAATAATTATATTAGAATTATAAAGGAGTTTGATGTAATTTTTAGCCTATGAATAGTCTTTGTATTAAATTATTTAAAAAGATTATTATTGTTGTGTAAAAAATTATATTCTATTCTATTTAGATGAAGGAATTAGAATCCAATTTTTCAAAGGAAAAGACAATGTCAACTCGATTCAGATCAGACACATATATTCCAATCTAATCTTCAAATCCAGAAGTGGTAGTAAATTCTCTTTTCCTCAATCCTCATTCCATTGTCCTTTCGCATATATAATTATATATTCGCATTACTATAAACCAAATATGCAAATCATATGTGCTTTATTCTTCTACACAATCTCTCTGTGTTAATGTTGAAAAGCTGGCAATGATTGTTCAGTTCACAAGTTTAACTCTACTGCGTTGCATATGTTGAAAGTAACAATAATGGAGAGTAGACGAAGATGAAGATGAATGTTCGTGTGAAACCCGCAAGCGTACGGGATCGTTGTACAAGTAATAAGATTTGTGAGTTAAGAGTATCGTTCCCACGAGGAATAAAATCTAATATTTAGTTAAGTAACTTTTACTAAGTTCGAAATAAAATAAAATCAAAAAAGTTGTGATTTGTATGTTTTCTATATTAATCTTAAACTAAGAAAGCAAATAAAATATTTATTTAATATGTGAATATTTGTATTGAAATCGTGTATCCCCCTGTTGCCATTTAATTCAACTCTTAATTTATAATTTAGTACATTTATGCATTTAAAACAATCGATAATCCACTTTTATTTAATATTCTTTTCCAAAATATATTAAATATATGTTTAACACGATTCGATCATATTCCTAATCCGAATTCATATGAAAAACATGCATTGATTCACAGGATTTATCACACATGATGCACATACTATAGATATTATTCCTAACACCTATTGTTCATGTGTTGATTTTATCACGTTCTAGACTTATTGTGAGTATTTCTACACTACAACAAGCAACTTACTATGTAATTGGTAATCAAGTAATTAAATAGTTCAATGGGAATGCAAAATCAATCAAGAAAAAATCATAAAGTACTAAATTAATTGTCTTGTATTAAAATAAACAAACAATAGGGTCCATCATTCATCCAATACAATGAGAAACTAGCATGGCATATTAATATATAAATTACAATAAAAATTCTAGAAAAATATCACACAGATCATGAAAAAATACAAAAGATGTTGATCTTCAAGTCCAAAGCTGAATTCTTCAAAATTTGATGTAATTGAACTTCAATTCCTTGCTATATCTTGATCTTCTCTCTCAAAAGATAGTAACTAGCCCCTTGTTCTTAATGAATTTGATGAAATTATTGTGCATGAAGAGGCAAGAGAGAGACCATTTCATTGCTGCCCATATCTTATATTTATATAATGAAATTAGTCAAAATTCACGTCCAAATTGTCTTCCAAAAGAGTTTGAATCAAGTAAGGAAAGTTGCCTTCGCTCGCACATAATGTTGTTTCTGCACAACTTTCAGTATTTTGGTCATAACTTTCTCTTTCAGTGTTCGATTTAAGTGATTCAAAGTGCATTCGAAAGCGAGTTAAAAGAGCTACAATTCTTCTAGAAATACAATTTCTTCAATTCAAACATTCTTCATCCGAAAAATGGGTCTCAAATTTACCAAAAATCTTGAAGATATCTTATATGATTGGAAGTCGATTTATGGTAATACTCTGATCATTTCCCTTTCATTTTTGGCTCCAATTTGCATTCAATTGACTCCTATCAATTTTCAAAGTATCTTCTATGGTCTAAATCAACCATTAGATATTTATACTTTGGTCCTCATACTTTGGATTTACTTCATTTTAGCCATTTCTGTTCTTTTTTCCAATTCTTTTTTGAAACATGAACTTTTCCTTAAAAAAAAGCAATAAATAATAAATTAGGTACTAATTCGTTCAAAGAATAACAAAATATCATCATTTAGGATCCCAAGTTAGTGTAGAAACTACACTTATCAATGAAAATACCAAAATTTGAATAAATACCAATAATTGAACATGTAATAAATAGTCCTCAAACGATATCTGTCTCATCTTCAAATGCTCTCAAAGAATAAAATGGCAAATAGTTTATACGATTTATTAAGAATCACCAAACACAAGTGTTTGATGTTTCATCAAAGTGAACTAAATGAAAACTTGAAAATTGAATATGTATAAGAATTGTTGTAATCTATCGTTGATGCATGGAATGGTTGTTGTTTTTCATGCATTGAGAGATGAAAATTATCTTCTATTTATAGTTTTCGATCAACAAATCTCGAAACTGTTCCAATTTTATGAGAATATGGAACTTTTCATCCAAAAGCCACCAGATTTTCATGCCCATGTGATTCCATGGGAAAAACCATAGCCCCAATTTTGGCCCTCATCAATTCATTCACACATTTAGCCCAATTAAGGTCCAATATCAAATTCACTGTATAATATAATTTTGAACAATAGATTATAATAATATCTCACTTGTTCAAAATTATGTCAATCACATATTCAAACTTAGCAACACTTTATGCATAAGAATTAAATATCTTTCGATTTGAATCTAATCATAGTATAAATATCACAAAATATTATTAAAATTCTATGTAGCACGAAAGTTTTGAAATGGATATTTCTTGTGATAATATCAGTGAAATCACACACATAAGTATTATGTTTTCACAAGTTCTACTAATTCACTTAGTGCTATTATGACATTGCACTTATTCTATTCGTTGAACTTTTAAGTAAGAAAATCTAATTCTCTATTGAAGCGGTACCATCTCGAAGTTTACATAGGTAAAATACTTTCAGTATTTTTGTTATTTTTAGAGATACTTATATTCCGTACTAAATTTCATTAAGAAATTTTAAACTTATCCTTTCAACTTATAAAACTGAAATTTCTTTCAATATCAATGTCTCTCTTGAATGGTTCAAAGAAAGTAGCTTTCGAAGTTTCAACAAAAGCGATCCGTTATTAAGAAGCACATTTTGGGGTGAAAAAAATTCTTTGAATGGTTTTATCCCATCCTCATTGGATAAAAATGTTTGAAGCATTTTCGTCTCGGATAAGAGAAAGTCAACATATGTGTTCGAGCATTCTATGGCATAATTTGGTTCCTTCGAGCATTAAAAGCATTATCAATGTAAATGTGAATTGTTTTGAAGATGGTATATATACATATACATATACAGTGAGGTAAGGTTGTAGTGGTTTATCATCATAGGCACTATTCAAATAGGAGAACCTGATTTGATTGATGGATATTTGTTGAATAGACGTTGATCAGCCCGTGTTGAGACCGGAGTAGGCTGTGTTAGGGTGGTCCCGTTTGTAGGTTTGGTAAGAATCAGTCTATCTTATTTAACTATTTTTATTATGGTAAATTGTTATAACTTCATTTTATTTAATTATGTCCTCTATTTCAAATTGGTTTAGGAGATCTAGTAGTAGATCTGAAAGTAATTCAAATACTCCAAATATTTTTCAAAATATAGAAGAATTAGATTAAGCATCTACATCTGCATCAAATGATTTTAATCAACATGAACTCCAAATTGCTCAAATAGAACAAAAACTTTAAAACTTGACTATTCCAAAGATAGAGAAAAACTCTATCTATGAAATAGAAAATTTTGATTTTTCTCAAAATTATTTTATCAAAATTTTTGAACAAACAATACCAATCAAAAGTCAAAATGTATTTATCAATCTATTTTAAAAAAAAAAATCAATTGAATCACATAGGAAGAAATTTAATATCTTCATGGTGGATTAATTCAAATTGCTGTCAAACCATTGTTTCGACTTAGTTTAGATATTCCTATTCTCTTATCTCTTACCAATAAGAGACTTCTCAAATTTGAAAATTCATTATTATCCCAATTTTCCAATTAATCTCAATGATGAAGCCATTTTTAATACTCTAAATCTTCATATTCAAACAAAAAATCTTGATTTTGATGATCGTTCAAATGCCTTTGCTGTAATATACAGAGTATATTACAAACTCATAAATACTCAACTCAATATTGGTGCTCTTCGTTCATCCTCGAAAGATGAAAATATTTTGGTTGAATGCAATCCTTTTCATTTAAAC